TTTTTTTTTTTTTTTTTTTTTTTTTTTTTTTTTTTTTGGTTTTGGTTTTTTTTTTTTTTTTTTTTTTTGAGACAACGTTTGGCCACTGAGCAGCTCTAGGTGGAGAAACCAGGTGGTCTCGGCCTTATCTCTGCCCAGTGCTGATAAGAAGGGGTGGTTTAGTTGTCCATGGGATACTATCACAAAATAAGGGCCTATATTTTCTCCTAATCTTGTTGAAAAATACAGGTAAGGCTGAGGAATCAACTCAGTGAAGTTTGAAGTATTAATCTTATCCTTTGTTTAAAGTTGTCATACAAAACGCCCCTTAAGATCCTATGGACATCTTGACTGGTTCTTATATAAAGGTTGTTTCTAATGGTGTTACTTATAAAGCCTGGGGAAAAGGAGATCATGAAGTTATCTTGACATTATGGTACAAAGACAACCACACTCAATATTTTGGCATATTATGTGTCCACATGCTAATTTTAAATTCTAATTTTTCACTTAACATTTTTCTATGTGTATTATCCCAGACTGCCCCAAATTATATACATGTCATTTTAAAGACTGAATAATGTTTCATGTAGATATACCATTGATTACTCAAAACATTCTCCTTTCCATAGGATATTAAATTGGATTCTTTTGCACTTTTTTAGTGATATCTGTGTTCACAATATCATTTATTAGCACTGTATTTATTATACCTCCACCAATAATAGCTAAAAATGACTGCTTCAGCAAACTCAAGTCATCAGTTTTTTCCTTTAACTTTGCTCACTTTATAGGTGAAAAACAATTGTTTTCATTTACATTTAAAAAAATATATATATCTTTATTGATTTCAGAGAGAGAAAGGGAGAAAGAGAGTAAAACATCAATAATAAGAGAGTTATTGATCGGTTGCCTCCTGCACGCCCCCTTACTTGGCCAACTTTTTACATATGTTTTAATATTTCCTCAGTTTTCTTGGGAAAAAAACAAAACATTTAATAGGCATTAGGGATAAAGAAGACATCATAGTCTGTGCCTTCCTGGAATATTTGGTTTAGTGGTCAATGTATTTCATTTATATATTTGTGAATTTAAGTGTGTTACAATTTTGGATAAATTTTAAACAAAAATAAAGGTATAAACATTGTCTCTCCCATTTCTAGTTTGCCCTTTACTTTATTCTTTTCACTTTAAAAAGTATATAGTAGATTGACATTTTTATTTATAATTTATTCCATTGCTTTAAAGTTTAGAAAGCCCTTCCTTAAAGTAATCAGGGAGGAATTAACTTATATTTTCCTTTATATTTTTATGGCTTAATTTATTAAACTTCCTGGAATTTATTTTGGTGTATTAAGAAGTAATAGACTTTTATTTTTCAAAATAGCCCATGATTTATAGATTCATTGCCTTTAGCATTAAGTAATGATGGTCTAAGCTCTATTATTATTCAAAATATTTTTATAGTTGTTTCTCTTGGATTTTCTAATTATAAAATTGTCTCCTAAATAATGAAAATTGGTTCCTTTGACATCACATAATATTTAATACTGTCATAGTATCAAAATATTATCTTTGCACATATTTGTACAAAACTGTCTTGCTCTGAACCATGGCTCTGTCTTTCGCTCCAGGAGCAGTACATTTTTATCCATCAGTGTGTGCAGCTGATCTGGATGAAGAAGAAACAGCAGTTCTGCATCAGCGACGTCATCTACGAGAACGTCAGCAAGTCCTAGCTCAGAATCAGAGCAGTAAGTGGGGAGGCACCCACCATGGGAGGGGACATGATGGGATACAGGAGAGGGCAGCAGCAGCCACTTGTCCTGACTCTGCCCCCACAGAGGTGGGCATGTGGAGGTGGGCGCAGGGACAGACAAGTTCTGTAGCAGATCTTTCAGCTTTAGTGCCCTTGGCTGGTGGGCATGACATGAAGGAGCTTTGGCAGCTCATGATGATTTGACCTCCATTCCTTCTACCCTGAACCTTAAATTACTCTGATTTTGGCTCTGTGCCTATAACACCAAGATATTATCATTCACTCTATTTATCTAGACATTTTTTTGAAAATCTTTTACTGATTACAAAGGGATTTGTCATAAAGGGATTACAAAGAAGACATGAGCTGGAGTAAACACCCCAAAGAAGAAAATACTGACAGCAGTTCAGGACAGCAGAGCCTAGACATACCTTGATTGTATTCATTATAAGCACTTGCTCGAGAACGTCATGAATACATTAGTAACATGTTCAATGTCATGGGCTCGAGTCTTGACCAGAAGATCAGATTTTAAAGTCGTAAGTAATCTTGGCTGATGTAACAAGTAATCCGCCCGTTCAGCTCAGTAAGTGGAGTGTGGACTGTGTCTGGACAGCCTGAGGGGGCAGGACCACGGACAGGGTGGGGAGAGGACAGGGGTGCATTGTGAGAGAAATGTCAATGGAGTAGCATATGGACCCGTGGCAGCAGGACAGGACTAGCATCATGCCTTTACATCCATCAAGAAACAGACAGAAAGCACGAGGAGGCAGGAAGAATAAAAAATAAGGAGAGCAGGCCCGGCTGGCGCGGCTCAGCGGCTGAGCACTGACCTGTGAACCAGGAGGTCACTGCTGGATTCCCGGTCAGGGCACATGCCCGGGTTGCAGGCTCGATCCCCAGTCGGGGGCGTGCAGGAGGCAGCCGATCAATGACTCTCTCATGATGGATGTTTCTCTCTCTCTCTCTCCCTTCCTCTCTCTGAAATCAATAAAAACATATTGATATTAAAAAAAAAAAAAAAGACTAAGGAAAGAGAGAGAGATGAGTTTGCAGGCAGGGGGAAAGACATTCAGATCCACAGAAAGTAGGAATTGCACAGAGAAAGCTGCACAGATGACCCACGTCCACCTGGGCTGTGGGTTGAGTGTAATGAGAGCGGGAGGTGGAGTCAGAGGAAGGGGCTGTATGTCCAGCCAGGGGCGGTGGATGTGTGGCTCTGCCCTCCCAGGCCGCTCACTGTTTCTCTCTCATCCACAGGACAGGACATGGTGTGTACCCATCCTCCCTTGCTTCCAGAGTTTTTTGGGGGCCCTGATAGCCATTTTGCTAAAAGGAGCCTCTGCTTTGTAATATGTGGCCAAGGAGATAATTAATCTCGTAGAAGCACCGGGAAGACTTAGCCTTAAAGAGCCTACAGTGTCTTTTGGACTCTTTCTCTTCTGGACATTTAATAACGAACCAAATTCAACTGAACAGCGAAAGGTCCAGGCGCAAAGAGCAGGGAGCACAGCCCCTTCCGAAGAGTTTCACTGGCCCTTTGCTGGTTGGGCTGAGTTTTTTGTTGTTGTTTTTTAAGTGCAGTAATTTTTGTATGTGTGTGATTTTATCAGAAAGTTGAATTGTTTCCTGCTCACACAACTGATCAAGCCCATAGCCCAGGAAGGAATAGGCATTGTTAGTCTAAAATTATACCTCATTGTTTAAAAAAAAAAGGCATGGCCACATATGAAGAAATGGTGATTCTACTTCCAGAAAACTGAACCAGCAATACCTGTACTCCAGCATGAAGCTACTGGGTCAGGAGCGGGGAGGGTGGACGGGGGAAGAGAGAGGGGTTCTACCCAGAGATCAGCCACCCATCTTTTCCAAATATGAAAAGCTGTCATTCAGCTTCAAAGTAGAGTAGAAAAAAATATTTAAGTCTTAATTGTTGTAGTTCTTGATGGTTTTCTTCCGTATTAACAGTTAAGTGTCTCTTCCCGGGCCCTCTTGGACTAATGTCACGGTCCAGGTTCTTTTTCAACAAACCAGGTCTGACTGGAAGAGTTGGAAGTCTCACTCTTGAGGCTCCGTGGCTGTCTGAGCAGTCTTGGTGCCTAGGCTTTGAAATCTTTTCTGTTGACCTGCATACATGGGAAGCAATTTCTGTAAGAACTATTTAGGATGTGAAAACGCACTTTCTCTCCCCAAAACAGCTGGGGATTTATGAAGTTATGGCAATGAACTGCAGCATGCTAGGACAATTATTTGGCTACCTTTTCTTTTTGTATATTGTCAAGTGTCACTATGAATTTCGACAGAGATTTCTTTTTCTTTCTCTTTTTGGTTGTCAGGTTCATTTTAACCAGTGTAACTAGTAACATTTTATCCCATTCTTTAGATTTTGTATAATTACAGTACATGATAGTGTATTGTGACATGAATGCTGTCCAAGTGGACATCGATGGCATCCTGGAGCCTGTTACTTTGTGTCCCTTCCTGAGGAGTAAGGGGGGATGGGATGGATGTATGAAGGAAAACATTTTGAGCGGAAAGTAAACACACGCTGGCTGCTTCGCTGTGGCGGTGTGGCTGTCACGAGACCGCCTGTGTGGGCTTCAGGAGGCTTCGCTCCTCTCTGCATAGCGGATCCGTGCCCCTCGCCCTGGCCTCCCTCCATCCTGATCATCTTCATGGAGCCACGTACATAGGATCAGTTTAATATTTTATCAGTGACCCTAGTGATGGCGAAGGATGCCAAGTGAACAGCTCTGCCCCCCGCCGTCTTGTCACCGAGAAGACCTGGCCACGGCAGACCTTGGCGCAGCTCTCCGCAAGGCCTGGCCAGCGAGGCTCAGGTTCGCCTGGCAGGGGGAATGGCAGGCGCTGCCCACAGCCCGCAGGTCAACAGCTTGGGCTCCTGGGGCCTGTCAGTTGTGCTCGCCTCCCTTCCTCCCCTTGCCTCACTGCTGCCACCTCCTCTTCTCACTCCCACCCCTTTATTTCCTTTCTTGGACATGTTAATAATGTATCACTCTGTTCTCAGGTACACACACGGCTAAAGAAAGGTGGCAAACGCATGTGTGACATCCTTAGGTTTTCACACAGGCCTGGTCGGGGGGGACGTGTGCAAGCTGGGTGAGTCGATCAGATGCGTGGGTGTGCCGGAATACATTTCCAGTTCTCGTAGATGGGAACATTGCTTCCCCTGAAACTTAAGGCACTTCATAAATATTTCATGTTTTTCTTGAGCACCCCTTTGGGGGAAGGATCAAATAGTACCAGATCACTTTTCCCAAAAGAGAAGATGAAATATCCAGACTTTAGACTGAAAACTCGGAGTTTAGCCCACAGCAGGGTCACACTGAAGCACTTTCCCGGGTCATTCTTCTGGGTCTCGTGCCTCAGGCTCTTTTGTCACTGTCCTGGCACAGGGACACGGGGGCCCCTCAATTTGTGAGTGGATGGTGGGAGAAGCATCAGTCTGTTGGAAGACTTGGGATTTAATCTTGACAGATGGCTTTGGAACTTCTCTCTCCTGAGTCTCAGTCAATAAACTTTTGAAAAACATAAGAACAGCTCTGTATTTTGAGGGTGTAAGAATTATCAGAGATGATAATCCCCCCAAAGTGCTCTGTACCTTGTTCTTTCATAGGCCCTAAGTCCACTCTAACCAGCTGAATTTCCATCCTGGGACTCAGTGTTGAGCATTCAGAGGGGAGGCTGCCAGGGCCTCTGTATTATTCGTTTTTAAATCATCTCAGTACTGTTTTTACTGAAGACAGGCAGTGGCACAATCAGCTCAGAAGAGTCTACATGGTGCAAAGCCAATCTCTGAAGTTAACTGAAAAACTATTAGGGTCTGATTTATAAATTTAATAGTTAACACCAATATATCCATCACTGCACATTATATGATTTTATTTATCTTGAAAGGGAAAGAAAGAGCTAGAACACAGCATTTTTTTGAACAGAATTCTAATTCAGAGTTTACAATTTTCCACTACAAAGTTGACATTGCCCTTACTCCCCTAAATATAAAATTGGTAAGTTTTAAACATCTCTTATAAAACCTATTTAATCTCTTATAACATTTTAAAATCAGATTTTATAATGCCTCTCTTTTTCTAAAGGCTGTCCCTGCCCCTCAAAATGTGTGTATTTCTGAAAGAAGGCTGCCGTGTCAGCATGCAAAGTGGGGGCTGGAGGCTTTGGGTCTGAATTTTTTGCAGACCATATGATAGCTGCTGGCTAGAGGTTTGGCCCTTAGCCAAGGAGTTCAAGTTACTGAATCCAGTCTCTAAGAGCCAAAATCCTCCCTGCTTTCTAGCAAGGAGGCCCTCCTCTCCACCTCGGGAAATGTCTGATGTAATGTGCTTCAAATTAGCTGGCCCGTTTCCTAGCTCACAGATTGCTGGTCTGGTACTTGGCACAGGCTCAGAGTCCAGAGGCCATACCTAGGACCGAACACAACATCCGCTTTGGCCAAAGGGGTTATAAAGTGACAAAAATAAAACAGTCGTGAAAACTGCAAACTTCTATCCCTGGTTTCCTAACAGCCCCATTTGGATGCATTTGAAGGAAACATAAGCCAGGACGTCTCTAATGCCTGGCCTTCCTGGACAGCAGGGCTCTTGTGTTCAGTTTCAACTGATGCTCATCACAAAGCCTGACCCCGGGGAGTGACTCCATTAAAGAGGGAGTATGTTTAGCTCTGGGAGTTGTATTGTAGGAGGGATATGAATGAACCACAGGTTGTCCAAGACAGGGTCCCTGGAACCATTAGGGATGCTGAAAACAGGTCCTAGTGATATCATGTGGGAAAAGTGGGGATGTTAATCCTGGAGTAAAGGAAATCATTCATTCATTCGTTGTAAAAGTGTTTGCTCATCTAATCATGGTGAATGAATGAATCAGTCTACCAGCAAAAGAGTTCTTCACCCCTGCAATATGCCAGGCACTATAAGTACAAATGGTGCTATGTGTTGATTTTTTAAAATGTGTTATGGAATCAGAGTTTCGTTGCTGTTTTTGGAAGGACCAAAAAAACATTCATCTTTTTCAAGACTTGGTACCTCTTCCTTGATGAGATATTCCAAGCTAGCCTACCCTCCTACTCAACACAGGACCCCCCAGCCCCACACACATCCCTGGCAGATGGCTTATTCTTTCCTACTGAACACTTCCAGTATGTGGAACCACCACCTCCCAAGGCAGCCCAGCCCCTCACTTGTCACGTCCTCCTGTCTACATAGCTAAGGACTAGCACTAACGCTGTACGAGTCCATGCTTCTCATGGATAGAGGCTGAAGCCCAAATCTACTCCCTCATTTTGGGAAAAGGGCAGGTGCTGTGAGTGTACCACTGCCCGGGCATGAAATTTAATCATTAAATTAAAGCTGCCCAGAGCTTTAAACAGAAACCTGGTTTTTCTTTTAGGCATTTACACCTGACTCCCAGGGGAGTAATGGTGTTTTTTCCCCTAATGTGATAAGCTCTTTATGTGCATATTCTCTTAATTTCTTAAGAATGCCCATTTAATGGGAAGAAATGGAGAAGCAGTTAGGTGAAGTAAATTATAACAACTACTGGGGATTCCCACCCAGCTCTGTCTAGCCAAAAAACTCTTTTCCACACCATTTCATGCTGCTTCTCATTCATATTTATCATTGATAAACTAAAATAGGATAGAATTAATAGCTTCATTTTAGGTAATGTGTTTAACATAGAGGGTATTTTCATTGTGAGAAATATTAAATTTCTAACCCTCTAAGAAAATAATTTTCTTCAACATCCCATGTCAGGGACTGTAGGAGGAACTGGGGTATGAAGGTGGATGAGACAGAGTTCCCACTTCAAGGAGTTAGCATCCTGGTAGGGGCATCAGAAATGAAACTATGGCAACAAAGTGTTACCGATGCTGTGACAGAAACACACAAAGCCTCCCATGGAAGCCCGAGAGAAGGACAGGCGAGTTTTTTCTGGAAGGTCCAGGAAAGACTATCCTGCTACATTAAAGTGTTAAAGACTACCAGCGACATTACAGACTATTAATGATATGCACACTCATTCCTGCCGTCAGCACACACTCATAAAACACCCACGGCCTCAGGCACTGGGCCATGTGGATGACCAAACCTCCAGCCCTGCCTAGTAAAGCTTTCCTTCCAGACTGACTCCAAAGTGACAACTTCTTTCCAGGCCTCCCCAAATGCACAGCAGAATCCACTGGATTTACTGTCACTGCAAACTTAACAGCGCACATTAGGGCTATACTTCCCAGCCACTTGCAGTTACTTCTGGCAAATGGAAGGTAGGCAGAGGTACAACTCCATGCCCTGGCCACTGGTCCCTGCAAATAACCCAGGAGCAACCTTTCATTTTTGTCTCTTTCCCCCCACCCCCCACCCCCCACCGATGGTGATGGTGGTGCCAAAAACATGGAAGGGGCCTGGGTCCCTGAATCACCACCTGGAGGAGGAATACCTGCATGCATTGGGCCCATGATGCGATCAAGTAACACATTTCTGTCGTGTTGACACAAACTGTGGTATTGTCAGCTATGGCAGTCAACCTGCCCTTAACTAATATGGCAGCAAAGGACACCTTTATAACTTTGTTTGGCCTCAGGCACAGTGGAAGCTTTTCAGGGCTGTGGTGCACGACTATCCAACAAAATTCCCAGACAACAGATTAAAGATGCAACAGATCAGAGCAAGGTAGACCCACAATGCAAACCAGGACTCAGGAAAAGGCCACTGAGCAATGACAGATCTTTTAATAAATAAACTTTTGTATTAAAATATATGATTCTTCTCCAGAAGTGGGCTTCCTCCAAGTTACATCCCTCCTTCTCTTATTTTCTTATCTCTTTCCAAACCCCATAATAAGACCATTACTTAAGACACTCTCTAGAATTTTTCATCCTTATGCAAAGCCATTGGCTCTGAATCACAGTCCCGGATTCCTATGAACAATAGGCCCCAGAGTGGTTTCACATCAACAAAAGGCCAAACATACAGGAGGCCAGAGGCTTGGCATGTGGATGCTGCTGAGTGAGCCAGGCCTTTGGCCTGTGTTTGTCATGCTGAGTTCCAGTGGATAGGAGTCCAAAGCCAGCTGACACAAAACAGTTTTGTGCAGGTCTAAGAACACCACAAAGTCCAAAGGGCTGTTTCAACTAGGAACAGTTAACTGCAACCACTGCAAATACAAAACAGAATGGTCTTGGATGGGTTCCTTCATGCTCAAAACTAAACTAGGTCATGTCCTCCCTTAACCAATGACCTTGGGCAGCATTATAGTACAGGGCCCAGCAGCAGAGCGGAGCAGAGCAGTTTAGAAGACTCTGTACCTGACTGTGACTCAGTCCTCTCATCTGTGAAATGGACTGAGTGACAGTAGCTTTCTCATAGGGCTTCAAGAAGATAAAACATGATGTCAGGGGATGAAGACAATATGTGGAGTAAC